TATATATATATATATATATGTAATGAGGAAATTCACACAGAAAACAACACACAGAGCGACACATAGATTTATGTGGTTCGGCAAATTGCCTACGTCCACAGAAGTGTCGAGAATTTTATTACCCGGGGATCTTACACCATCGTCGATCGCCTCGGCGATTACAAGAAGAACTTTTCACTTTCTCTCTCTCTCTCTCTCATCCTCTCTCCTTCTCCTTCTCTCTCTCACTACTCGAGAGCAGCCATGTCAAAGAAGGAGATTTGCATGAGCTAGGTTTTGTGATTCCTTCTTCCTTTTCAGCCCGATCACCGAAGACAACAGGACCTTGCTGTGTCGCGAAAATAAAGAAGTCGGGTTTTGCTTCTGTTCATTTTTTTGCTTCTTCGTCGATCGTTCTATTTCATATATATATACCACAACAATTGGTATTAGAGCCGTGGTTTTCAGATATGAGGGAGAATGATGGTTGTAGATGAAGTGAAGGTTTCAGAGATTGAGAAATTTGATGGCACAGATTTTGGTTACTAGATAATGCAAATAGAGTATTACATTTATGGAAAGAAACTTCATCTTCCGTTATTGAGAAAAAAACGTGAAATGATGAATGAAGTTGAATGGAATTTGTTGGATTGACAAGTTATGGGGGTTATTCAATTGACTCTATCGAAGTTCGTTACACACAATGTCGTCAAAGAAAGAATGACTACATATCTCATGACAGTCCTGTCAGGTATGTATGAAAAGTCACCAGTGAATAACAAGGTATATCTGATGAAAAAGTTATTCAATTTGAAGATGACAGAAGGTACGTCTTTTGTACAACATTTGAATTATTTCAGTACTATCACAAATCATATATCATATGTGGAAATTGAATTTGATGATGAGATACGTGCATTGATTTTGTTGGCTTCATTGTCAAATAACGGAGAAGCTATGAAGATGGTTGTCAGTAATTCCACAGGTAAATTTAAACTAAACTATGATGATATTCGTGATTTGATTTTGGATGAAGAGGTGCGCATTAAAGATTCTGTCGAGATCTCAGATTCGAGTTCGACATTAAATGTTGATTTCATAGGAAGATCACATAACAGGAACTCAAACAGGAGAAGATCAATATTAAAGCACAAAGGCAAGATCAAGTCAAGGCCCAGTCAGAAAGCAACTTGCTGGAACTGTGGCGAAGCTAGCCACATAAAGAGGAACTGCAAAAATTCGAAGAAGACTGAGAATGACAGCGCAAATGTGGTAACTGAAGAAGATTATTATGCACTGCTGTTGATAGTTCATAGCTGTGTTGATTATTAAATACTGGATTCTTGGGCTTCTTTTCATACAACTTTCCATCAATAATTGATGTAAAATTATGTTGCAGTTGACTTTGAGAAAGTGTATTTTGCAGATGGAGAAGTTTTGAATGTGGTAGGAATTCGAGACATTGACATTGCACTTCTAAATAAAAACAAGTTGACTCTGAAAAAGGTTAGACACATTCCTGAACTGAAGAAGAACTTCATTTCAGTTTGACAGCTCGATGAGGGTGTTTATTCAGTAGTGTTCTCATATAACACCTGGAATGTTACTAAAGGAGCACTGGTACTAGCTCGGGGCAAGAAAATAAGTACATTGTATATTACTACTTGTTTAATTAACAGTGTTGATACTACTGTTACAGAGAGCACAACAGAGTTGTGACATAGCAGAATTGGCCACATAAGTCGGAGGGGTAAGAAAGAACTTTAGTCCAGAGGTAAACAACTAGAACTGGATTAAATTGATCTCAGCGTGTATGAGAGTTGCATTATGGGGAAGCAAAGGAATGTTAGTTTTTGAAAAATGACAGGACGCCAAAAGTAGGAAAGCAGGATCTTGTGCACACAGATGTGTGGGGACCTTCCTCAGTGGCATCTATTAGAGGCTCTCGTTACTACACATTCATTGATGATCATAGCAGAAAAATATGAGTCTATTTCTTGAAGCATAAATATGATGTATTCAGTGTGTTCAAGACTTGGAAGGTCATGGTTGAGCTAAAGACAAGCTAAAGCTAAAATATCTGAGAAGGAATATTGTGCAGCTCAGAGCATCATAATGGAGAAGACCATTCCAGAGACACTACAACATCGTGTTGCAGAGCGCATGAACAGGACCATTAATGAGCATGTTAGAAGCATGAGATTGCACGTCAGACTACCACCTACTTTATGGGCAGAAACAGTTAGCACTGTAATTTATTTGACCAACAAGGGGTCATCTGTTCCATTAAATTATGATTTGTCTAAGGAAGTGTGGAGTGGGAAAGAGGTCAAATTTTCTCACCTTAAAATCTTTGAATGTCTTTCTTTTGTTCTAATTAATCCTGATGCTCGAAGTAAACTTGAGGCTAAGTCAAAGAAGTGTTATTTCATTGGCTATGGAGACGACACATTTGGGTATTATTTTTGGGATGATCGGGATCGAAAGACAATAAGGAGCAGAAACATGATTTTCAATGAGTAGGTTATGTACAATGACAAGTCCAGTACAGTTTCTGAAACAACACTGCAAGAATATGAGTTGGTAAGGTTTGATGATTTACTAGAGGTCACAGTGCAGGGCAAAGGTACAAGTGACGAGGAGAGTGGGTCTGGGACATCCACTCATATTGTTCTACAATCAGTTTCAGAGCAATCAACCCCTACAGCTACAGTTCGCAGGTCAGAAATGACTAGGCGCTATCCACAACATTATTCTTCAACTTTAACTACATTTTGCTGACAGATGATGGAGAACCTCAGGTTATGAAAAAACCTTGCATAATGAAAATTTGAGCAATTGGGAGCATGCCATCCAGGAGGAGAAGAATTCTATGTTAGAAAATAAAACTTGGGAGTTGGCAGAACTTCTACCAGGGAGTAAGGCATTACACAACAAGTGAGTGTATCGGGTGAAGACTGAGCATGATGACAATAAGAGGTGCAAAGCTAGACTTGTTTTAAAAGGATTTCAACAGAAGCATGACATTGATTATTCCGATATTTTCTTTCCTGTGGTGAAGCTTACAACCATCAGAATGCTACTGTCTATGATGACTACTGAAGATCTCTTCCTTGAGTTGTTAGATGTGAAGTCAACTTTTCTTCATGGAGACCTTGAAGAAGATATCTACATGCCCCAACCTGAAGGGCTTGTGGTACATGGAAAGGAAGACTCGGTTTGAAGATTGAAGAAGAGTTTGTATGGCTTGAAGCAAGCTCCTAGACAGTGGTACAAGAAATTTGATAATTTCATGCACAATACATGTACAACAGATGTCAAATAGATCATTACTGCTATGTCAGACATTTTAACAATTTTTATATTATTCTACTGTTATATGTCGATGACATGCTAACTGCAGGGGCTAGTATTGATGATATCAATAATTTGAAGGAGCAGATGTCAGAGCACTTTGCAATGAATGATTTGTGAGTTGCAGAAGAAATCTTTGGTATGAGAATTGTCAGAGATAAAATCAGAGGCATGTTAAGACTCTTTCAGACAGAGTATGTGAAAAAGATACTTAGCATATTCAATATGAATGAGGTCAAGCTAGTTGGCACACCCTTGGGCAGTCACTTCCGACTCAACAAGAATAAGTCACCCAAGTTAGAGGAAGAACGTGACCACATGAGTAAGGTTTCTTATGCTTCAGCTATTGATTCACTTATGTATGTTGTGGTTTATACCAGACCAGATATTACCCATGTAGTTAGAGTTGTTAGCTGATACATGAGTAATCCTTGAAAGAAACATTTAAAAGCAGTGAAGTGAATCTTAAGGAATATAAGAGACTCTTCATAAACTTGTTTGTGTGTTCTCTGTTTTTTGGGTTTGCGAATTTTCTCGTTCTATTTTTTCACTTCGTCATATATCGTTCTATCATATATATACCAAAAAATGTTGTAATCATGCGATACACGGTAGCATGGCAACATTAGAGCCCACAACCGGACATACAGTCTACCGCACTAGAAAAGATAGCTTAGTGCTGCTCCATAATAAAACACTTTTTACATTTTAAAAAATTAATATAAAAATCAATCTGAACTTACTGTAAAAAAAAAAAAGAAAATAGAAAAATTAAATGTGAAAATTTTAATATATATATTTATGTGAAAAAGAAACCTCGTATTTTCCTGGAATTCATGAAAACCCTCACTGTACAATCAGCAACAATCGATGCTCAAGAACAATGAGGGCATCGAACCAGCCCATTCTCATTACAATTCATGCATCTCCTAAACCCACCACCAATTTCATCTTCTTCCCCCTCCACAAACACCTTACAGCTCCCCCAACAGACCTCACATGGCCGAAACCTGTAATCACCACAGCCCTCACAATCCACTCCATTGCTCCCCTTCAAACCATTCGCCATCTCACAACCCTTCAACGCTTCCCCCAATTCTCCACTCTCGTGCATCTTCTCCACCTCCTCTGCTTCTCCCAGATATCTTCCATCAGCAAAAATCTTCGGGAGCTTAGTTCCAGCGCCCAGAATTTCACTCAATTCATCCCTGAAACCTCCATGCATTGAAACATCTCTTTCGTCGATTCGGACTCCATAGCTCTGAAGAATAGCTTTAGCGTTCAGACAATCTTCGTATGTCTTCCTCACTCCCCTGAGGCTGGTGGAGTAGAGAACCACTTTCCCCTTTCCGGCGGACGGCGGTTTTTTCAAAGGTGATATTTTTATGCTGGTGTTCGACTTAAAACTTCGTCTTCTTGCGTCAATTTTCTGCTGGAAATCGGCGACTCTTGCTTTTACGATTCCGGGGAATTTTGGGATTTCTTCCGGCCTGTACTTCGCCGGAGAGAGGCGATGGCGAAGGGTGGGGTGTTGTGGAGATAGCTCTGTCATGGCTTTTTGGAAAATGGTGATTACTTCAGGATCGAGTTGATCTGTTTTTATCCATAATGGTTTTGGGGAGCCAGCTGCGGAGGTTACTAATGATTTGGAGATCGCCGGAGGTGGTTCCGGCGAAGCTCGGATTGTTTCGAAGGAGAAGGATCTGTTGGCTTGTGATAGCTGGAGAGGCAGAGGACTTTCGCACTCATCGAGACCTTCCATGAGCTCCCAGGTGTTGATCATCTCCGATTCTGGCTCCGGTTGTTCAACATCACCAGCGGCGGCGATGGATTTGGGGGCTTTCTGATCGCGATCATTTGTGTTCATGATTTCCGGATCGAATGAATCTTGATTTTGATCGAGTCTGAGGGAGCCGAGAGTGGAGAACGTGAGGGAGACGACGTGGAGACTGTCGCCTTTGCGTTGGGAGCCATGGACGACCGGCATGGAAAGGCTCCGGCAATACGACGGCGGACTTCGCCGGCGATCTAAGTGCGCCTCTCTGGAGCCCACGCAGCCCATCGGAGAAAAACGGTGGAAAGCAGAGAAAGGCGAGATTTTTTAGTACTAATCAGAAGCAAAATCAGATATTTTTTGAGTAAATGAAAGGGGATTATGAGAAAGGTTTGGGATCTAAGCGGAATGAATTAAAAAATTAGACCATCTGAGAAAACAAGAGTAGTTGCCGGCCATGAAGAATGAACTGGAACGCATTAAAAAGAAAATTTTTTGAGTGAGTTGGAAACGACGAAGGAGGAGAATATATATATATAACAATTGCAAGGGTACGCGCCATTAATTAAAAAAAAAAATGAAACCTGCGTCGAAGAAACCAAGAAGAACTTTCGTGAGAGAGACAGAGAAGGAAGATGAACGAATGGCGAACGCGATGAAGATATTCGTAGGCTTCCTGGAGAAAGAGACTGCGAGCCAGATTGTGTGGACCTACGTACAAATATTTTATTTATACAATATTTATTGACGACAATAATATTTTAGAATGTTTAGCATTTTGCGAAAGAAACGTGTGATTTTAATTCAGACATCTCTGTTTCAAATTCATGTTTTACACCCTCCTTAACTTCATAAATATTTCAGATACGTAATTAATAGATATTAATGTAAATTTAATTTAAAAAAAACAATAATATTCTTAAATCATTATTTTTGCATTTATGACCCATTAGTCTAATTTTCAAGAGAAAATTTACATAAGTCGAAATTCTTATGTCTACCTATCTAACATCTAAACTTCAATTTTATATACATGCCATCATCTTATATATGCCATGCATTAAAAGTTTGTTAAAAGTTAAAAAAAGAGATTTACATACTAAAGACAACTCTTATGTATTTGCACGTCTAATAATTAAAACTTATATATTTACATTTAGAGGACCTTTATGTTATAAACATGTGTATGAAATTATGTATTTCACTTTTAAAAAATCATGATAGTAATATTATTATAGTTATTAAATATTTGAAAATCATGTGTGTTTATGGATGTAAATACCCAAGGTCAAAATTGTGGTATTTATTATATGATATGAAAAATTTATTGGTAAAAATGTAAAAAAATAAGAATTAGACGGTATAAATGGGCATTTAAAAAATATATTCTTTGCAAGTGTAGTCAAGGCTGTCAAGCTCACATTAGTTGAAAATAAAAATGAAAATTCCATTCGAGCACTTATTGAAAAAAGTCAAGCTGACACGTAAGAGAGTTTATTTATTTATTTTTTTTTCCGAACTGAAATTCGAGAGTCGGTCAAAATAGCAAGCCTACATATCGCCGGCAAGTGAAATGCGCGCCACGTGTGGAGATTTGAACATGATTTTAAATTGTTTCCTGTTTAAAATATTCAGGGGATCCAGTTTAAGTACCGTCACACGCGGGTTGTTTAAGAAAATTTTCCGTTTAAAAAAATTTGGAAGATTTACATGCATAACACTCCATTTTTATCTATTTACATATCCAACACCTAAACTTTAATTTTTATTCACATAACCCCTGGCTTATGCTCATTTTCTTGACTTAAAACGGTGCTATATTTTATGACATGCGAAAAGGGAGGGTGATATAAATGCAAAAAATAAAGTTTAGGCATTAGATGGGTAGATACATAAGAATTTGGTCGTATGTATTTAAATTGCCCACAAAATGAAAGAGGGATATAAGAAATAAATTTCAAACTATTGATTTAGCTTTGAGATAATTATAATACTTAAGATATAATTAAAATTAGATTTTATCTTATTTTAAAGTAATTTAAAAAACAAAATATTATTCTTAGTTAAAATTTAATCATAATAATTGAGCCATTTTTTTTTATACATTTTACTTGGAATTTTAAATTTCATTTAATTTTTTGAGCATATATTAAGGGACCACACAATTATTATATATTTACATATCTAATGCTCGAAGTTTTGTACTCAAATATTTAGCATACGTCAGAAATACTATTATTATAATAGTTCTAACCTTTTGAAAATAAATTACATATTTTAATGCATTTATTTTGATAACAAAGTGCTAAAAATATAAATATTAAACTCCATATAAATATATAAGAATTTGTATGCAACTAAATCATCGACGCGAAGCTCAAAGCAATCGAGCGGCTAGGGATGACGCATCATGTTACAAGACAGTGATCAAAGTTGATCATATAACGAACGACAACTCAGTCAGAGTCATCCTACAAATCATGACGAGTGATTCAATTCATGGACCAAGTCTATAGTCTCGAACTGTCTAAACTCTTTATAAGGGCGCTCAGCCAGTCGCCTTGGTCGACTGAACTCAATTGCGTTGACTAACTAGTTACTGCCACATTTGAATTCAAATTGTAATAATATAAATTGGATAATAAATCATCAAGATTAAATTATATTAAAAATGATTTCAATAATTGTTTCATTTTTTCTGTAATTTTACAAAACACTTATATGAATTAAATGAACTCTTCTCATTTCTCTATGGGGACTTTCTCAATTATTTTTACTCTCTCTTGTCCTCAGGCCTAACTCTCTCAGTGTGTTTAAACAAAGGACGAGTTAAGATTCAACAGAATTATATGTTATGCATGTAAATTTTTTCTTATTGTCCTTAACTTATTTTGTCTTTAAAAATTAGAAAACCAGAAAGGGAATAAATTAAGGGACCAACCCAATCAAAATAAGTCTCCATATAAAATTCCACTTTTCTTTCTATATAAAAAAATGGTTGCAATATTTTGACTAAAATAAAATGAGTAGATAAAAATCAAGTGAAAATAATAAATGTATTACAATTTATTTTATTTAAGAGTGTGAACATAACATTTAACTTAATTTATATTTAGATGTATACAATGTGTAATGCTAGACTTAAGCTACACTATTCTTTCAATAAGAAATCACCTCTCTGAATTAATAAATAAAAGTAGGCTAACCAAAAGGGGGTTGGTTTGTCGGAACATTGTACCGTTCATGCCTTGATTGAAGGCGAATTCCATATGGGTATGTCTGCCTAATTTCTTTATAATTTTAAATATATTTGCGTGGAATAATTCTGTAAAGTATTTTGGCACATTTTCGTCATTCGGAAAGTTTATTTACTGAGAAAGTAATCTTAATTGATGTGGCGGCGTTCTAAAAATACAGTTGATCTGTTTGAGTAAACTGTATTTTGACAGCTTATAAAATTTAAAAACGCTGAAAACAACATTTTCACAGCGGCAACTTTCTGGCAATTGTATGACTTTTTCAAAAATAATAAAAATTTGTAATAGCAACCGCCCCTAGCTTATCAGTAGATCATTTTTAATCAGCTTATCAGCAGATTATCTAATAAGCTACAAACAGACCCTTAATAGTTAAAATGGGAATTTGCATACATATCACCCAATTTTTATTTATTTACAATATCTATAACCTAAATTTTATTCTATATTTATATCACTAAAAATTTTTATATCCTATAAAAAATATATCCTATAAAAAATATCATTATTTTAAAATTTAAAAGGTAAAGCACACGTTTTTGGGCATTGGTAAGGTGGGATGTAGTTAAAATTTGAAGTTTAGGCGTTCCTTGTGCAATAACATAGAAATTGAGTGGTATATATGTAAATCTTTCTGTTTCATAATATATATGATTCACAGAATGTCAAAATATATTTTAAAATTATTTTATGGTAACGTGCTCGGGTTATTTTTAATAGGGGCGTTTACATACAGATCGAGCACATAATTTTCACGTATTTATTTATCTCACTCCTAAATTGTCATATTTATACACATAGCTCTAAAATCTTTAATATTACATATACAATAACACTTCTATAACTTTCGAAAAGTGAAATATAAGTTTTCATGTATAAGTTTAATACACCGCAGTGATATGTATATGATGTGTGCAAAAAGATTCACGACAGTAAAGTAATAAATTATTGTTTTAGCATCGTGCGAGAATCCAATATACACTAAGATAAAAATATGTAAATAGCAGAGACCAGAAATTTTTACATGAAAAACATGTAAATAAAAAATATCACGGGGTCTTGCCCAGTTGAAATGTTATACAACGAGTTGATAGTAGTGTAGCCCCTTGTCACACAAGCGGGAAAGGGTTATATAGTTTCTCGTGTTACAACATTCGTGTGCGGAAAAACTCGTTGCCTCAGTGTAAAAGACAATTATTATAGCTCCAGTACTCTGTCTTCAGGGTCAACCCAACGTTTAAGATGATGCAATACTTTGTAGGTTGCTACATGATATTGTGGTGTTGGTTGTTGCTTCGTAAATTGTTTAGCATAAAGGAACGAGCGGCGACCAATGTTGGTCGATGGCCATCGGCGATTGCAGAAGCTAAAAGTGTTAGCTCGATTGTCAGTGTAGAATACCGAACTTGAAGTCCCTCTTCTCCGGGCTCTAGTCTTCATTTGGCTTAAGGTATAGTCCCATGCTCAAGAGAGGTGTAGGACACATTTATATAGTCTAGATTACAAATAAGGAATGAGTCCATACAACTCTAATCAGATGGTTTAGGAAAATTTTTTTGATTTGATGGCATTCTAAGGGCATTTAGTTATCTTAATGATGTCGGAATTCAATGATCATGGACTCGTTAAATACGTATTGTCGAGACACTTGATTTGACAATAATTTTGCTAGACTCGTAATTCGTTTAACCTTCTAATTATGCCCGAAAAGCTTCTAAAAATGATTAAATATCTTGATCTAGACTTGATTTGACTTGAATCAAACAAACTTTGGTATCATTATGTTCGTCTATTTGGGTGAGGCAGTTTGACTGTAAGTTTACTGAAATCGATATTCTTGATGTCTATTAATCAAAGTATGAATGATTATTGCTACAAAAATTATCTCAAGATTCATGTTGTTCCTTGATATCCATTCTGGATGATGAAAATTCGTTAATTGCCATGTAAGTTTCACCTATGTATACACACACACACACACACACATATGTATACACGCAGACACACACCTTACATTAAAGGTATTGGGGAGTGTCAGGAGTGATAACTTAGCACTATACTAATGTCCAACATACACATGGTTAACTGAAATTGTAGCCGGAGAATATACCAAAATTTTATGTGGAAAACCCCTAAAACTAAAACAAACCATAAGGCCTAACCTAATCAAAATAATTCATTATATGTTTGCTAGCTCGTAGATATGTCATTCTTGCAAGAGTCCCGATGAGGAGAATGGGGTTTTAGTTGCAATAGTTGTAATTAGTGCTCACCTACAGTCGGTGGTCTGCGATGACAAGTGGTGACGGCGATCAATGTTCTTTGCTGGATGACGACTATAAAGATTGGTAGTTGATGGCTAAGGAACTCAATGGCTACTTCTTGAGACTTATCTCCAAAACAAACTCTGTAATTTCACCTAAATTTCTCTCCAAAACAAACTCTAATTATAAATATGTGACATTTGTAGTTCATTTTACCATTCAATTAATATTCCAAAATCTCCAATTATGTTTAAACAAGGTGATCTGGGCTTGATCAGACTTGAATTGAACTAATTTTAGAGGCTTTCAATGTAAAAAAAATTATTGTCTTTTCTGAAAAATTTTTTTTTGTATGTGTGTGTCGTATTTTTGTACAATACTAAAATATTAATATATCACTACAACCTTGTGAATTTTGGAGTGTAAGATACACAAAATACATAAAAAGTGTGTGCTATAAACGTTAATTTCTCTATCACACACCCACGGACATATATAAAACAATAAAATAATGTGCAATACCAAAGAGATTAAAATGTATTTGTTTGTCATGTTTGGACTTATCTTACTTAAATCCAATAATTGTATATTTTTTTAATTAGATTTACATTATTAAAATACAGGCTAAGAATTTAACATGTCCACGTATTTTACATTGCATTACAATTGGAACTTCTTACCTATAACTTGATATCAATATTCAAAATCGATAACTTTCAAGTCTTACCTGTTAACTCAAAACTAATTACCTATATTATAATTTATACAGTTTGAAGGTGACAAACATACTGCACAAGTGGTACACAACTCTAATGTATTTATGTATCTAACATCTCAACTTTCTTAGTTACATGCAATTCTGAATGCACCCGATAAGCTTCACAAAAGAGAAAAAACATAAAATTATAATTTAAAAATCGCCATATTTTCTAAAATTAGAGAATAAAAATGCATTTTGTTTCATTTTCTGCCTGCTGTTTGGCTCAACTTTGATTGATTAAAAAACAAATATTATTTACCTAAATACATGATAAAAAATAAAAACTTTATTTTTTGTTTGCTAAATAAAAAACTTTTTTCATTAAATTTCTTCTGAATGAAACGAAATCGTATGAATGAATTTAATTTTTTTTTTTTTTACATCCCATAAAGTTTGTAATTGTTAACATTTATATGTCGTGATTGAAAAAAAACAAAAAAAATGTTGTCAAAAATTGACTTTTGATGAGCATTAGACTTATACAGACAACTTGTTTTATTTACTAAATATTAAAGTTTTAACAAAAACAAATCAAATCTTATTCCAAAATAATCTTATCTTCCACCACATTCACCCACAATAGTAAATTAAACAATTATTTATTTATTTTTTCACCCTTGAAGATCAAAAAGAAAACTTGAACACCATATCATGCTTGTAAACCTCTCCAGGATTAACAATCTGTGAAGGGAATTGAGGGTGATTGACAGAATCAGGAAATCCTTGTGTCTCCAAACACAGTCCATCATGCTTCTCATATATCACCCCTCCCTTACCCCCAACATGATTCAGAAAGTTCCCACTGTAAAACTGAACTCCAGGCTGGTTTGACCACAGTTTAAATCTCCTCCCTGATTTCTCATCCTTCACAACTGCAACCTTTCTCATTCCACGCCCATTCACAACATAGTTCATGTCATACCCTCCTTTAACCCAGTTGATTCGGCTTCCGACTGTCTTCGGCTTGCGGAAGTCGTAAGGGGTGCCGGAGATGGAGGAGATTGATCCAGTTGGGATCAGTTCGTCGTCGACCGGAGTGATGTGGGAGGCAAAGATCTGAACTTTGTGTGAAAGAATGGTGCCCGAGTTGTGCCCGCCGAGGTTCCAGTAATTATGTTGGGCGAGGTTTACTGGCGTGGCTTTCGTTCTCGGCGTGGCTCGCATGATGACGCTTAGCTTGTATGAACCGGAGATTTTGTATGTGACGTAAACGTCCAGATCGCCAGGAAAGCCTGTTGGGGAATTTGATCAAACATGTTGGATCATTGCTCCATCACATGGGATAAATTTACTAGGAACTTTGTTTTGTTTTTGTACTTGTTTGTCACTATTAAATTTGAGCAATATGAGAAGATAAGCCATACCTTGTTCCCCATCAAAACTATAGTAATAGAATGTAATGTAAGGGAATTCTCCATCTCCCTTCTCTTTAACTTTCCAAAACACACGGCTAAATCCTCTATGCCCGCCTAAAAATTCAGCATTGAAAAACAAAAAATCATGCAAATTTCTTATATATATATATATATATATAT